TATTATGTCTCTAATATTTCATGGGGATCAATGTGGGCACTAAATCTATCATCATGACCCAGACTAGCAAAGGAAGAGTTCACCTCGTTGGTATTACACCATCATTATGCCTAGTTTTATCGAAATCCATAAAGTATATAAGGTTGCACGTACTCTAAGAACTAAAAATTAAGTAATATCCTGGTTTACCTTATGATTAGATTTAATAACATATTTGTATGTAAGTAATCGTCTGTTTGTGTGGTAAACGTTGATCTCATTTGATACATTTATGAAATAAAAGTTTGTAAAAATCAATGATGTTTGTGTGTCTATTCTGGAATCGTGTGATGTTTGAATGATTCCGCTAACGAGGTTATTATTTCTATGTAAAATTGTCGTCAAGAAATCAAAAGTGTTTTATTTGTGCCTGATATAGTAGATTAGTGCCAGATAAAACAAGAATTAAAAACGAGCCAGAAAATGAGATGCAGAATTTACACACTAATTAAACATACATTTTATTTAAATTATGTGATTTTCGTACATTTGGTAGTTGCCTTATTGTAATGACACTATAAATTATTTGCTACTTCCAAAACATACCATAATGTTAAACTTTGGTTTAAGTTTATAAATAATGATATTTATTACCTCTTCTGCTTTAGAATTCGCCACTGCCTAGACTTATTGCAATAGATGTTTAAATTTCCAAGAAAACGTACAATATATTCTAAGAATTACCGGTGCAGTAATAGGGAGAACATGTTTGTAATATCTGTTGCATAAGTAAGCGGATTGAATTACAGTGATTTATTGTGACGTCATAAACTTGTTGAAGTTTGAAAATTTAAATTTTATCACGATTTTCCATATGAAATAGATCCATGAAAAATAAAATCGAAGTGCATGGTAAAATGGAAATGATTGATTGAAAATGGACTGATTTGTTTGGAAGCCATGCGCCACCACACACATTAAACTGAGTTGTGTCAAAAATAAAATCTAATATATTTCAATAATTCAATAATTTATGGTAGATATTTATAAAGACAGTTTTAGATCAGCCAATAAAAATAGATTTATTGTTGGTCAAGAATATCTTTGATATGGATGTCAATTTCAATTATATGAACTACTATATGCATCTATTTTTGAAAATGACCACTCATGTACATTCTTAATACAAGTATATATATATTTTACTTAAAATACATTGTCCTAGAAATTGTAACTAGTAATGCCCACATATTGGATTTTTTGGATGCAGTACTTTCATCCACAGTCTATGGTATTAATTTTGTGTTACTATCTATTACGATGTTACTGGAGTAATTTACACATAGCGGCATTTATTGGCTTCGTTATTTATTCGAAATGTCAATGTGAACAAGACGTCCTTGCTCGTATCAACTCGTATGCACTAAAAATGTCCCATAGACGACACGATTTAAAAACCCGATTATGGCGAAATTTATAATGAAATCGAGTCTGAAATTTTAATATTGCATGAATATTCATAGAAACATTATGCTGATATAACGACACATTGAAAATTACGCATTCACTAGAAATATATCATGATTTGATGTAACTGCCAAATTTATTTCTTTGGCATTCATTTTAATTGTTTTTTGGTTATTCATTGTCACACGTGGCTGACGGTATTTAAATTTTACTATGTGCTCCAATGGCAAAACTAATCCTGATTTGATTTTAACTTGCACCAAGTAAATTAAAAAATGTACGAGGTTATGATTAGTTAGTACAAACAGAATATTCAGTTTTAATACAACTTCGATAAGTGTTCAGAATTTTTCATTATACCACAATCCGAGTTTCAGAATTTTTTTTCA